ATCATATGGTGAAAAACTGACTTTGAAAAATAAATCTGTTCTTTTTTTCTTATAAAAGGTTCAATAAAACAAAAGTATTGGTGGTAATTTTTGACTGTGTAACTTTACAAACAACACCTCATAGTTCAGTTTMCAATAAACAAAAAAAGAAAAAATAATAAAACAACAGTTCACACGTTTACATATTTCTCCAGCAAATTAACCTTCATCATTCTCTTAAATATCCTCATTAATCTGGCATTTTTAATGTCATCTTCCAGATTATTCWTAATTTAATTCYCTGGACTGAAGTTCCTTTAAACTGGTTCTAAATTAGTCTTAAACAAACATCTGTATCCCTCTGAGATTATAACAACTCTCTCTTTTCACAAAGTGTAATTGGATGTGTTGAGTTCCAGCGCTGCACAGTCTGAACAGAAGCAGAACCTGAAGTCCAGACCCACTGACCCACTGACCCACTGACCCACCTGTGAACTGCTCTTCTTTGCAGCAATACGACTACGACAGCAGCACGGTGAGGAAGAGGATCTTCCAGGAAGCTCTGGTCTCCATCACTCTGCCCTTCATCAAGAAGAAGCTGGCCGCCTCCTGCAGAAAGGTCAGAGCTGTGTCTGTGTGGCCTTCAGGGAGCAGGGAGGAGTTCTGAGCTGAGRGGAGAGGAGAGATAAGAGCAGTGAGCAGTGGTTCTGTTAACTGCTGCTGAGCTCCATCCAGAGGATGGYTGGGCTGGTAGGTCTGCTGCAGACGTACAGCTGTGTGCCGTCAGCGTAGCTCTGGATCTGAAGTCCGTACTGGTGCGKAATGAGTCCAAGGGTTAGCACGAAGTGGGCCGAGCATGGAGCCTTGAGGCACACCGTGGGTGACAGGAGTGGTGTGTGCTCTGCAGTGATCGACTGAGACAGAGTGGTAACGACCTGAGAGACAGGAGGTGAGCCACTCGAGTCCTGAACCACTCGAGTCCTGAACCATTCGAGTCCTGGACCACTCGAGTCCTGAACCACTCAAGTCCTGAACCACTCGAGTCCTGGACCACTCGAGTCCTGAACC